TACATATATCTATTATATAATATATATAATAAATAAATATTATATAATAAATACAATAAATATTATATAATGTTATATATCTTCAAACCACTTTCAAAATTAGTAATAAATAAATCATCATTCTATAATAGATACACGTGTTAATCTACGAAACATTTTTAAATTTAGCAATAAATGAATAATCATTCTCTTTACAATTGTAATACCTACTGCCTAAAAATTAAGAAAATCTAATATTATCGATTCTCATTCCTTTACATATTATGCATTTTATTGCAAATTTCAGTACAATATCTAAGTACAATATTCATTGCAATGTTTCAATATATTATGGAGTTCATTGAAAGCAAGAGAGTAGCATGACATGCGAAATTGACTAGTAACCGGTTACTGTTACATCCAGCAGAAGTTTCCATTAAAATAATTTTCTACATCAGTCTGCGATACGATATCTCCAGCTGGATCAAGTTACTTCTGAAAGTCCGCGCAATCGTTTCTACACTTCTTCGGAACTTCCCCTATACTATTCCTACATTAAACTCAATTAATATCTTTCCATTAAGAATAATATGCCAACAAGAAATAACCCCGGAGAAATATAACATGTTCCAATCACTAATAAAAAATAACATAGTTATTTCCACAATGTTTTCGGTATAAACATATTTACAAAATAATCGTTTGTAATATCACACGGAGTATACCACAAAAATGTCTAAATTAAATTTAAGAAACATAAGTCAAATGGAAATATCTGCCGTCTTTTAATAATTTTAATAAATCGTCCGTAATATTAACATATTCTCAAATTCCTCTAATGCTTTTACAATTTTATATTTGATCTAGCGGGTTAGTGTCAGACTTTTTACTGAGAAAGTCACTCAAAAGACTCGAAAGAACGTCTAGATGGAACTCATTAATAGCATAATCAGTTTCAAGATATTTCCAATACAAATATATTAATAAAACAATTATATGAGCTGTTTATTTAGAAAGTAGCAGCATAAGTCACTTTGTTTTTAAGTCGATATATTTAAGGGTTTGCGTTTTAACACGTTTAAAAATATGGATGCTAACTTTCAAGAAGATTTACTTGTATTTGTTATCTCAGGATACTGATATTTTTCTCAGTATAAATAATTTCGTATAAACATTAAAAAATCCCCACTTTTCATTACGGTAAAGTGACTTAAGCCACTTTCAAAATAAACGGCTCATACGTAGTTATCCTTTATAGATTAAATAAAGGTATTCACCGCATAAGTTAATCGCAAGTTCGTCTCATTTCGGTATGAAACTTTTTACTCGGAAAACCACTTGTTTATGTCTGGATCGATCGCGGGGAGTATGTGATAGGGTGTTGCTAGCTTATCGGCGTTCTGTCCACATCGGTTCTTGTCTTAACCAGGAAGGGTCCGAAATACCAAAGTGAAGAGCCCTGCCAAAACTTCGGAACTTTCCAAATCGCCTCGTATTTCCGGCAAAGTTGTGCAAACTGTGGACGAAAGTCTGGAAAATTTCCTCGAAAACTCCGCTGGAAGGTATTAGCACCCTGGAATCGACAGCGCATCGTTCACGGCGAAAGAGCCCGGAGACCAACTATTTAACGTACTCGCGATGTCACGAAATTGGCAACTACGATAGACTATACTATTTCATTCTTTTTTGTTTCACAGTGCCGAGCCAGCCAGCACGTTCCATTCTCTTTTTTTCTTCTTGTCAACTAAACTCGTTTCATATTCGCTATCAACCAGAAATAGCATTCTATTATTCTTATTCGCAGTTCCAATAGAATTTCAGGATTATTTCGAGCGAGCGGTGTTTCAGCTGTCAACGAAATAGTCGTGGAATTACAGTTTCCGAAGCCAATTTACTACTTCACGCGTTTTAGAAAGCACTTTTATATATAGCTTCTAGCGTGCTATTTCTTGAAACCCGATATCAATTTGCAAGTCTAAAGATACTAGCCACAAGGCAGAGTTGGGCAAAAAATTATAATCGACGACACATAAAATGACGTTTTTAAAATTCGATTCAATTACTGCTGTTAATCGCAATTAACGATTAAATCTTTTTTAATTGTTACTCGCTGTTAACGATTAAGTAACCACGATAAAGCGATAAACCTGATACAGACAATCCCTAACGGAATTATTTAATTCATTAATTTCGTCTTTATTATTAATTAAAATCTAATTTCATACAAAAATCAACAATTATTAATCATTTCTTTCAATCGATGATTGACGACTGCGTTCAACAATCGATAAATTCAATCGACTTCTCGACGTTTAATTCCTTGAACCGTTTTTATCGATCACTTAAACAAATTACAAATTTTAATCAATTGATGTTCAACACTGTTGCACGGGAACTTTATACAATACGTTTGAATTTTTTTAATTTTGAATGGAAATGTACGAAATTTATTTTCAATGGAAAAATAAATTACATAGTCGTAAGTTATAATAATATTTGTACTCGCAGTGAACGCTTATTAAATATAATATTATAAAATTCCGGAAGGTTTTTATGCATGCCATAAAAGTGAGAAAAATTTACTTTTAATGGACAAATGAATTACGTAAACGTTTATTAAATAACTTACACAGTTGAAAGTTATTAAATTATTGCAGTGTCCCGGAAACGTTCTCATAGAGATACAGGGAATATACGTGTCGCGAGGCTGCAGGCATTGCCCAAGGGAACGTATGAGAGTCGAGTAACTTTACACGAAAAAAAGAATGACAGTCTCCACGAGAATACATGCGATATACCGTCTTATAATAATACTCCTCTAAGACAGTAACTCTCCCAAAATGCGTCATTAAAAATCGACTTGTCTACTTTGTCGAATTTATATTTTCAGTCAAAAATGACTGCGTAAAGAAACTTGAAATTGAAGAAATTTAAGGAACGAAAAACGTGTCCATTATAAAAAATAAGACAGTATACTTTTCGTGAATTTGTTATTATTTCTTCTAATTTTGAAATATTTCCTAACGAATACAACAAACAATTATATTCATAATGTACGATATAATATTACAAAATAAGTAAAAGAATTGAAATAAACATGACAGAAGCTTAGTGATTGATAAACTGCGGGATCTTTATGTAAAATAAAAATTCTTTACCTCGATTGCAACAAACGGGAGTTAATTTAAAATTTGGACCCTGCATTTACTGCCTTCAATAAAGTGATGACGAGTCAATTCTACGATTTAAGTGAAAGAACAAACTGATACACTTTCAATATAACATTTTATATATGTTATTAATACTGTTTGTTGAAAATAGACCCTACGGTTTATGCACTTAATTAATGTGCACAATATTAAATAGACAATACATGCAAAATAACAAGATTCAGTTTATTATCAGTAATTTGAAACATTTTACAGAAAAATGTTTCATTGAATATTTCAAGAGAATATACAAACAGAATGATATTCCATTTATTTTATATTTATTTATTACTTCTATTTCCGTTTGCATTTTATTTCTATTTCCATTTACGTAATAGCTACAATAATATTGTACTTGTGCGAAACGATAGGGAAAAATCGATTTTGTACAATGATTTGCAATTTATAGTTGTCAATCGTAGATGTAAATAATTATAACGATATTCCTAAAGCACGTGTCTTGTGTATTTACAGGAATGGAACGATGTGAACATGAGATGGAACACGTCGGAGTATGGAGGTGTGAGAGACCTTAGGATCCCGCCACATAGACTTTGGAAACCTGACGTTCTCATGTATAACAGGTAACTTAACACTGTATTCACTTGTTCAATATTCATGGAACAATCCGCCTCATTTTTACAACGCGCGCAACTAGCAGAAAAGGATATTGAAGCGCCCCTCCCTTTAGCCTAGATACTCTTAAAGCCTTATAAAAAGTCTCATCGAAACAGCCAATCTCCATTGTAAATAAAAAGCCGTTAATTACGTTAATTAGCATTTTACTATCCGTGGCAGACAGTGTTCGATAAAATCGTTAAAGCAATCGCCGAGGGAATTGTTCGCGCGCATATTAAAACCGGATAAGCAAATAAAATGCAGGAATTAATGATGCATAGAGAAAATCGTAATGAAACGATGCGTACTATTGTTCCATCATCAAATACGAAGATCATGGGTTTATGAAAATCATACAGAATTATTGAACAATATGATAATTAAGATACGGATACTATGCATTTATGACAAAAATAAATAGATCGTATATGAAGCAGTACAAATATTTAAAGAACTTGAAAATACTGTTGGATTATTTCCAACAGAATCAAATAATAATTAAAGAAAAAAATTATTATGTAGCTTCTGTATATTACAATTAATGCAGGCAATTTGTATTTTGCAAAGAAATCCGCTGACTAATGGTAACTGTTCGCCTTTAAATTTCTTATTTTACGGATTACAAAAAGACAAATATTTTCAATATCACCAGCGATGAAATTATCTTTACCACTTATCGATGTCATCTTTGCCAAATATGTTTTGCTAACTAAATGTAACATTAATTTCTAGGTCCAAACTTGAAACATGAGTTTATTATATAAATTTTTCAATCGTAATAATTATACTGCCGATTTTATTTATGCATACACTGAGAAAATGTGTAAATCAAATGTAAAACGATAAAAGTATTTGAAGGATATTAAAATACTGTTACATTATTTTGGACTCGTTAAAATGATTAGGAACGACTATAAATACCTAAGTAACGTCAATATCTTGCAATTGATGCAGACAAATTAAATATTGCATAAAAATCCGCAGTCCAATAACAATTTAAATTGTATTGTGAAATGCAACAATGATGGTAATGAAGTATTTCGTTCGTATTTGTTCATCTGAGTCTGAATATAGTTCAGTACGCCTGGGTCTATTATTTTACTGGGAAATTGTAAGTTGCGCCCGCCATTGGACTTTCATCTTTCGTTTGAGGGCGGCATCGTGTCCAGTGCATATTAATTTCGCGATGGAATTTCCCCGAGAATACAAAACAAGCTTTGTCTCTGGTTAGCTCGGTTTTATAATGCGAATTACACTTCCGCGGAAGGCGTGGTTTGATTTCAACTTGGCCGCGAGTTGCGTCTGAGTCTGACACCAAGGGTACGCTCCTTGAATAGTTCATTTGGAGGGCGAACGATAAAAGTATGGCGCCCATAGTCCAACGTTGACCGAACGCTTCACTGATCAATCGGATTAACCGTAGTATGCTTAAGGGATGCTCGAGAAATGTCTACAGAATTTTAAACATGTTTTCGTGCTCTGACAATGTTCTCTCATCAATTTTGTATATTTTATTTTTGCTTCAATGGATACCTAATAATAATAATAATGCCCAATTAATAATACATAAATGTATTACTTAACAGAATTGTATAAGTAAATATGCCACGAACAGGAAAAACATTTGTAGCAGCTTTTCTTACATGCATATAGAATGACTAGAGGACATCAAAATTTTATATTCCTGGTCGGATGATTTCCACGGGAATACGAAGGGACCGAGTTGTTTTCGAAGTGAGGATTTCTTTAAACAACTTCACCCGTGCAAGAAAGGAAAGTCTCGGGACGTGATATTTAAATTTCGTTGAGAGCGATTCGAATGGAAATCAAAGTGTTACAAATTTTCGTCTCAGTGGGTGTTCGTTCAGGGCCGGGAAACTTGAAAGAGCTCGACGCGGAAAAACTATTCCATCCGGAACACTGATACCGACTATAAATCGAAGTGTCGTTTTGCGACACCGAATCCTTGTTCCTCAAGTTTACAGAATAGTCAGCGGAATGGTATTCTTTTCTTGGAATATACTACCTTCCAGTGCACCAACTGTTATTACGGCTCCTCCGAGAAGCACATTTTAAGAAATTTATTCAACAGACGAGAAAGAAATTTTATTACAGTTCACTGGCATCGAATTTCGTAATATATTCGATATGAGAGCTTGGCGGAACTAATTTTATCTCCTCGAGTTTGTATAAATAGTCCGTGTAATTTATAATATTCTGTTACTTCGTAATTTTATAAAATTTG